ACTGGTGTGCTCGGACCCTAATAACATCCAGTCCTCAGCTCTTTGTATTTAGACTGCCATAGATACGTATTGTCATCTCCATTGGATCTCATAATGCGCTTTAGTCAGGCAGAGCTGCCACTGGAGGGTATCAGGTAGTTTTAAATCAAGGGAAAACTTGCTAGCTACTGCCACAGCTCATAGTGGCTTGTTGAGAGCATTAGGGAACCTTTCAACTTGCTGAATGGTCAGAAGATTCAACTACAACACGAGGGCGACCTACTGGAGGTGTGGTTTGGCCACATTTAGATCACCATGCATCCTTTGTACACTTTAGGTTGCATAAAAAGGCCCTTTGTCATAACCAAATACAGATCACGTCTACATGGGGTCATGAGTTTTACCAGTGACCAGCAATTAGACAACAGTCCTTGTCTGAGCAGCTGTACTGTGATACTATAAATTTGCCTAAAGATGGAAAAGGATCACAAGGTTGAAGACATGCTGATTGAAAAACCTTCCAAAAATACACACAAGAACAGACCATCTTTCTTTTTTGGCCAATACAACCATTTATTTAACTGTGGTTAGTGCAGCCTGTTTTCAAACCAGGTGATCGACTCCAGCAGCCCAGGTGAGTTTTAAGCATGCACCTGTGGTAAGCACCAGAGAACCCAACAGTGATTCAACCGAACACTGGAGCTCTTCTCTTACCTGCCGGTCACAGTCTTTCCCCATGGTTAGCTATAGCCGGCTGAGGTCGCCACAGTCCTGCTTGCATGTGTGGATGCATCAGAGAATGAATGAAGTGGGAAAACATACAGAGAAGGTGCTGATGGCTTCGACGGTGCAGAGAAAGCAGCACAAGTTCAGCTGCTTCGTCCGGTCCAGGCTCACCTGAAACGCATTCCTGTTTCAGCTGGTATTACTGCCTGGTGACATCGCTGTGTTCTGTCCGTGTTTGTCATTAACCTGGGAATCACTATCGTCTCTGTCATCGTCATCAGGCAGGTTAGTCCATTTACTGCGGCTCTGACAGAAGCGACACGCCTGGTAAACAACCAGCTTCAGTCCTTTCACGTGTTTTCTCACCGTGCATTGTCCGTTGCACTCCCGGCACGACTTGAACAGCTGGAGGATGCACTCTTCGTCCACGATGAACTCTGACGAGCTGAAGGAGTCAGAGAAGATGCAGCAGGTTTGCTTATTACGAAGATGATGTTAGGACAACAAAACACATAAGTCCAACTTTGAAGGCTGGAGATGATGAGAAGGATGTTAACAATCTGACAACAGGCGCCTCAAACTGGATCCTAGTATGTAAATCAACACACCTTCCCAAATCCACCAGGTAGCGTCCGTCTCCCACACTTAATGAAGTGCTGAATTCTTCCTCCTCTTCTTCTTCAACTGTGTGGGCATCCATTTTTAACAAATTACAGTTTTGCTGAAAACAATTGATTTTCAGGACTAATGTGAAGGTGACTCACCTCCGTTTACTTTATTTTCTGACCGTCTGATTGGCCGCCACTCATCCTCACTCTTTGGTCTTTGGCGAGCAGCGTCTGACTTCTGCATCTCCTTAAAATGAGACGAGGAACAGCAAGAAGCAGTCAGCAGAGAGCTGAGTGGAAACAGGAAACTCTCTCTTATTTACTGTGTGTATCACAAAATACGATAAAAATATGAAACAGAATGTTGAGAATTAATTAACTAACAGAATAATATAAGTTCAGAAAGTGCAATGTCCAGACCTGAAATATTGAATAAACGTTATGATGCTCACGGACAAAAACATCTGCAATGACTTTATTATATGTGCAGATATTTAAAAACTGCAAGTTATCTTTCAACTGCAGCTAAATTTTGCTTTAATAAAATAAGGTTTGGGGTTGTAGAAGCCAATAATGTAGCTGATAAAGTAATAAATTTGCACTTTTTAAAAACCTGGGTGTCAAATGCATAACATCACTAAAATCAAACCACTACTGTCTGCCATGCAAAAAGATCTCCTGGTACAGTCTTTCATTTTCTCACACGTAGATTACTGTAACTCACTGTTGACTGGCACAACACACTCCTCCATAGCTCGTCTTCAACTAGTTCAAAACTCTGCAGCAAGACTTTTGACAAAAACCAGCCGTAAGTCCCACATCACTCTGATTCTGTCCTCCCTTCACTGGCTCCCGGTAAAATTCAGGATAAATTTTGAAATATTACCTATAAGGCCCTTCATGGCCTAGCCCCCAAATATATATCTGAATTAATAAAACCTTACTCTGCCAGCCGACCTCTCCGATCCGACGATCGAGGCCTCTTGGTTGTTCCTCGCTCCCTTTTTAAATCTAGAGGTGATTGTTCTTTTGAGGTTGTTGCTCCTCAGCTCTGGAACAATCTGCCTGCTGCCATGAGATCTGCTGACTCTGTGGAGTCTTTTAAAAAAACTGTTAAAAACCCACTTTTATAGGCTGGCCTTGCGTTAAGGTGTCGTTGCGTGTTGTTATCCTCGTGTCTTTCCTGTCCTCTCTCTATTCTCCTATTATCTTTTGGCCAAAAATGTAACAAATTATCACGCTATTGGTCAAAACTTATTATGTTATTGGTCCAGGACTTTTATTACGTTATTTGCCAGTTATTACATTATTGGCCTATTACATTTTAAAAATGGTAAATTTATTACGTTATCAGCCGTTGTTACGTTATTGGCTTCTACAGGGTCATGTTGGGCTCAGACCAGTTAGCAGCATTACTCCAGTTTAATAACGCAAGAAAGAGACAAACTGTTGTGTTTTCCAGCAAATTCAACTCAAAGTGTCTTCATTTGTTGGATTTGTTAGATTTGATATACGTGTTTTAGAATATAAAGATCCAAAACCAGCAAACAAAAGTGCCAAGAGTGTAAAATGATATCTTCAGTTTGCTCGTTTTGTCTGATTGGTTCTCCAAACCTTCAACGCGTTCAGTTTACAATGAGACAAAACAAAACTGTCACACATTAGAGAAGCTGGAAATGAACTATGTTTGGTTTTTTGACAAAGACTGAAACAACAAATTCTAGTTGGTGGACTGATAGATGGACTAATCATTTCAACTCTATATGAGAGATCATGATTACCTTTCCATTTTTAGACGACTGGACAGAAGTTTCCTGCTCAGACTCATTTGATGAACTCATCATAAACGGGTATTCATAGTGCACACTTTCACTGAATGACCAGATAAAGAAACACAAAGGTATAAATGTATCTGATAATTCTACGTCGTGTTCTTTTGTTGTTTTTTTTCAAATGTGTTTTACCAGCATTCATCATAATAACCTGATAGTTAAAAATAACCTCAAGTCAAGTTTTAGTCAAATAAAAGACAAAATCTAAATGTTTAACGCTACAGAAACAGTCATGGTGCTAAAATCAAAACACCCGGACACACAAAGCCACTCACCAGGTTTCAGTTGAAGAGCTCCTTTTGAAGCTCGATCGTTCAGCTCGACTCTCTGACTTGGTCCGAAGGTAACTACGATCACAACACACGGCATTCATTAAATGGACAGTTTGAGAAAACACACGAAGGGAGACTCCAGGTAACACATCTGGACTGTGGATTAATGTAACGTGTAATTATAGTCCTTTGTGCTGATTCAGATATCAACTTGTTCAATATGAACCCTGCTGAGTCGACGCACATTCAGGCATGATTTACTCTCTGTTCTCATCCGTGTCTTTTGATTGGGGAGGTAACCTCCTAATGATCAATTTATAGAGCCCTGGATGTAACAGCTCATATGAGTTTCAGGAGGATTTCCGTCCATGTTCAGAACTCTCAGCACATCCAACGGAAATCACTTATATGTGTTTCAGGATGATTTTTTAGGGCATCTTTAGTGTGAGGGCTGCAAGATGGATCAGTGGTTAGTATTGTTGCCTCGCAGAAAGAAGGTTGCCGGTTTGCATCCCGCTGAGGACACCCGGGATCTTTCTCTGTAGAGTTTACATGTTCTCCTCGTGCAGTGTGGGTTCTCTCCGGGTTCTCTGGCTTCCTCCCACACAGTCCAAAAACATGTTGAGGTTAATTGGTGATTCTAAATTGTCCGTAGGTGTGAATGTGAGTGTGCTTGGTTGTCTGTCTCTAAGTGTAGCCCTGTGATAGACTGGTGACCTGTCCAGGGTGTCCCCTGCCTTCACCCTGAGTCAGCTGGGATAGACTCCAGCCCCCCTGTGACCCTAATGAGGATTAAGTGGTGTATAGATAATGGACAGATGGAATCAAGGGATATATTGATATTTCTAGTGGGCAGGAACGTACAAATTAACCATCTGAGAATGTTCAAGGTGAAATGTGAAAGGTGCAAACTTTAGACCTACCTTCTTAGTCAGGCTTTTGATGTATTTTCTTTATTATCATTACTTTAAAAAAATCTTTTTAAAATTCATTTCATTATAAATGTTTGTTTTAGACTACTTTATCTATCTTTTTAAAACTATTTTCTTACTTTGCTTTTACATATTTTGGCCTAACGACTGGAGGTGGAGGTAGTGGGTACTGTTTATATGATTTCTAAGCATTAATTGTGTTTTTGATTGATTTAAACTGTAAAGCACTTTGTGTTGAATGAAAACTGCTGTACAAATAAAGTCTGACTGATTAATAACGTTATAGCGGGATCTCAAAATAAAAGTGCTTCTTTCTTGTGTTTATTAGGAGGACTTATTCTAAACATTTAGGGAACGTTTCCTCTGTCTCTCCCTCCTGTCTGTCTCCTCACATGGTCCTCAGAGCTCCTTCGGTCCCAGACTCGTGGACGCGCATTGCCAAGGCAACCACACTAACATCTGGGCTGATGTTCCAGCCTTGAACTGCATGGAGGTAAGCGGATGCCTGTTTCTCATAGCTGAAGCAAAACAGCATCACAGGACAAGGACAGAATTAAACGAAGGACATGCAAACAAATCAAACTTGGTGTTTACATTCTGATCAAACCAGTGAGGACTGTTGGTTTAAAGCTAACATGAAGGTACCGAGCTGAGCGTTATAAAATAATCCAAATAACTATACTGAGGTGTAAAATTGGTGTTAACGTGTGTCAAATTAGTCTGGTAAACTGTTTTTTAGTTGTTGTTGTTTTTTTTAAAGGACAAAAACAGCGAGAACAAGTAGGTTAGCTAACTTGTCTGTTAGCTAACTCCAGCTGCAGCTCCGAAGCTAACAGGCGGAGAGGACCAGAGCGGTACCCGGAGAAAGCACACCAGCTCCGGACACACACACACCCACCTAGCTAACATCGCTGCTCATCTCCACCGTCACCCACCTATCGAGCAGAAACACAGCCACCTCCGCGTCCGTCTTCATGCCTTTCAGCTCCCGGAGGTCTCTCCACCGCTGGAACGCTTCGCCGATGTTGATGCGGGTCTTGGCTCGGCTCTGGTCGTAATGTTTCTTCTTCTGCTTGTGCTCCGCTGATCTGATCCTCTTTGGCCGCTTCTCGGCCATCTCTCCCTCTCATTAATAAGATGATGTTGTGGACTATTACTGTCCCTCCCCTTCACCCCGGTCCCGCAGACGCCCAGTAACGACCCCTGTTGTTGACTGGATCGGTCCGCACCACTGTGTTTGTTGTTTACACATCCGGGTCTGTGCGGTGACACCACGCTGGTTTTGTTCAGTTAAACAGAGCTGACAGCTGGCTGAGGCTCACCATACATGACCTACTGTCTATGTTCTGAAGGTTTTTACAGGGAGGTTTGTTCGTTTATCAGTAATACCCTGATTATTAAACATAATTCTTAAAAACGTGGCCAAAGTTGATTTTTTTCAGGCTGTTGACAGTATTTTATTGTATTTTTTGTAGGGAGTGATGACAGCACATCCCTTCAATGAAAACCTTTGACTACCAACAAAATGACAAATGTTTTAAAGCTGACATCCAATATTTAGATTCCTTTTCTTGAAATGAATGCAAATTTGGACTTTTGTTTTTTTTTTTTTTTTTACATACAAGATACCTCATTTGCATATTAAAACATACACCGAAATGTTAGAACAGCGACTCCTTATTCCTTCATGTTAAAAAGATAGAATGGATAGTACTGAATATAAATTAAATTGGTGGCACATGCA